CCAGTACGCCCTCGACAGTCTATTGCAGAGATAACAGACTCACAATCACACTTACATCTATTTCAGAATCACTGATTAACCAATCATGCATGTCTTTGGACTACGCAGGCACACGGGTACATGCTCCACACAGAAAGACCCCCAGCCGGCCGGGGGTTCAAACTCAGGAGGTGACAGCATTAAATGCACCACTATGTGACCCACAAATTAAAATTAATTTTAAAAAAAATCTGCGGTAGTTTATTTGTTTTCTAAGGATTGATATCACAGATGATAAAGGAGAAGGTGCTTTTAGCAACACCTTTATTTCTGAACGTATCACCACAGAGAGACATCTGCACGTGTGATTGGGCCTGATTTACACCGAATGACCTTCCTGATCCAGTCCTCCCATTTATCCAGGCTTGGGACAGGCACTCAGCTCGTGACCCCCTGAGGCTGGGTTTGTGTAGCCTCCCAGACTCAAACCACACTTTTTTTCACATGCAAGGTGAATGTGCTAACCGCTAAACTGCTCGATTAATGATTAAGAAGAAGAAAACAAAAACAGCTCACACAGTTTTAAGTTGGTTTGACATACTCAGATTATTTTGCCTCTAACATCATTCAGAACTAGCTTACACTAAAGTATCCTGCTAGCAAATAAAGAGGAAATAAATACTAATGGAATAGTTCATTAATTTTTATATTTTACTAACAAATAGTTTAATAGCTTAATAAAACTCAGAGCATCACTGAACACAGCAAAGATTTGCAGTCAGTTTAACAACTACAGCCAAACGTGCCCAGACTTTGTCGACCATCTCTCCTCTTGTTTCTGTAACATCATAATGAATCTCTGGCTTTCTGACACTTGGCTAAACAACAGCTTTTGGTTTGGTCCTGAAAACATTGTATCCAACTGCAAAACAATTAAATACGATTAAAACTGGAAATCTTTCATTTTTGGGCGATGACGTCACCGTGACCTTTACTTCAGTTGTTTTATAGAGTCGGCTATTAATCATAACAACTGTCTACAGATTTTAAGTCAATTATCAACTGCATTACAATCGATAATGACTGTAAGTCAAAGCCTGTGCTATTGGCTGCATCCCGGTCCCTCGCAGTGATAAATTACAGCAGCAGAGACACCTTCCAAGCTGAGGTAGCTTATGAAATAAACATAAGCAAAGCCAGTTGTAAGATTAATCCACGAAGCAATTATTCATTGGGTCGCGATTCCACCTTGAACAAAACCTCTGAATCTCTCGAGTGTTAGGACTCGACACTCGAGAGGAAAGGGGCCGGACAGAAACAAAGCCGGACTCATGCAGGGACGCTCCCAGTGGAATGGGAGTGATTAGGTGCCCGAGCAGAACAATCTCAAAAGGTTTGTCCAGAAGAGGGTCGCGTTGTTGGGCCACAACTGTCTGCCAAGAACAATGACAGCAGCGGGCCACGCAAGTGACACAGCGCTGGTGGAGATAGAGCGCAGGAGGGGAAGCGAGGGGTGGAGGCGGGCGGGGGACAGAAAGGCACTTTATGTCCAGGGGAGGACTGAAGAATGTGGGGATTTGGCCCCTGCACCGAGGAGCTCGTGAGCTGGGACCGAGCGGGGGGATTAGAGGGGACAGGATTGAGATGAGCTGGTCTGGCACTCCCCAGCACGAACGCACACAAATACGCACACACAAACAGGCATGCACATACACCTCCCCGCCTGGCGCTCTGCCCGGCCATTCTGTGGCAGTAATGCCCTTAAACTCCAGACTCCACCACACCCACAGCGAGCCGCCATGGACTCCCTCCAATCATCAGTGCCCCCTCCCCCTGAGGAGCTGGTTTAAAAAAATAAATAAAAGAAAAATCAGGGTTGTGATAAGCAAACATAAAAATCAGGATGACAACGAGCCAAAGAGGAAGATGCTGATTGTGCTTCAGAAACACACAAAAAAGAATGAGCCCTAAAATTTGGTGATTTCAGTAACAGCTAAAGTTTAAAAACATTTAAATATAAATAAAAACTAAAACAAGGGGATTTGAGGATTTCTTCATTCTCTGATATTATGATTGATCCTTTAGCAAAATGAAGAATCACTGAGGAAAAAAAATCTCTTCTCACAATTTTTAAGCAGAAAAAAATTGACAGGAAAAAAAGCAATTAGCTCCAGGAGTGCGTGCAATATAATAATAATGAAGCAAATTAAGAGAAAGAGACAGAGAAACCCGTCCCGAGGTGAGCAGTTAATTAGCTGATAGTCAGAAAATGAGTGTGGAAGTTTTTGATGACTAAAAAGATCAATCAAAACATCGATATTCTCTCGTTTCACCTTCTTGAGAAATATTTTCTCATTTGTTTTAAAAACAAACTGAATATTTTTGTGGGGTGATGGCTGAACATCGCAAGTCATCTGACGCCACTACCTTGATTATTAGACTGGATCATTATCAGACTCATTTAAGAAAACAATCGGCCGATTTATCGATGACGCCGTAACACGATGAAACAAGAAGTGTACTCTTCCATTAAACACATTTTGTTGGTGCAGTTGCAGGAAAGTTTACAATTAACATCTATTTTTATTATCAGTTAGTTTATAGATTTATTTTCTTCAGTTGTTAATTGATAAATTAAGCTATTAAATCTCTGTCGTCTACACATTTCCAAATCTAAGGTGACATATTCAGATGTCCCAAACCAAATCAGAGAAGCAACAAAAATTTCTCCACAAGATTCAAAATGATTTATAATATTTAAACAGTTTAAACTTCATGACAACAAAAAGCCAGAATTATGAAGACACGAAATGAACTCAACACTGGTGCAGATACACAGGAACCAGAGTGTCAAACTGCATCTCAGTTTAGTTCTACTAAAATAAGCTGGGCAAACAGGCGTGTGGAGACACAGTTATTCAGCTAACTTCCATCAAAGCCAATGCATGGGATAAAAAAATAAATAACACAAAGCCACCGATATTGAAATGATGCGTGCATGCCCCCTCTCTCTTTCACTCACACAGGGCTTCAATTGAGGGGAAATACAAATTTTGGCAGACACACTGGCTCCCATGAAAACAATGAACTCCCAGCTGCCATGTAAATAACACCCCTCATGACCGTGTTAATCTCTTCCAGCAAATGAACGATTAAAATAAAAGTCAGAAAGTTTGCCTGAAAGGGGACGAACAAGCGCGCTCGACACCAGTTGTCTTGTGGGGATGCTGAACTCTTTCCCCGTACCGCGCAATCTACGAGATAACGTGGATAGAGGTGAAACAGTTACTTGTACTGGGAAATGGTCAATCCCTGGGAGCCACAGGGGAGTCACAAATAGCCTATCTGCAAAGAAAACAAGTGAGCATTGGAAATAGGGTGTGCGAACGAGCGTGTGAGGATTATGAAAAGCTGCACGACCACTCATCCTGTCATCTCAACTGCAGCGTTCATGCCACAAAGATCAGAGCACGAGAAAAGAGAAAAAAAGAGGCTCCTTTGCTGTCCACACAGAAAGCTGTATGACTAATCAAGCTGCTATCCCGCTGCTAATGTCATGATGTTGGACTATGCAATAAATTGAATTCCCCATTTTTAGTCTAAACTTGATCCTTCTCTGGGTCTGAAAGAGCAATTTAAACCTAATGAGATCTAGTCCAACAACCTTGCAAATATATCTCAAGGTTCTGAAGTGCATCTGGATCAGTGAGGCCAGACATGCTCACTGCAAACACTTTTAGGAACAAAGCAACTCCGTTCAATGGGAACACACTACAAAATGACATCGCTGTGCCCTTGATCAAGGTAGAATTTGAATGTGTACACGTGAAATGCCAGTGCAAGTGGTATTTGTGTAAAGTGTTTGGAAAAGCTATTTGCAAATCTTGCCCATGCAACAAAGGTAACATGCGTAGCACAAGTACAGCTAGAGAAAGCATTTAACTTGTAGCAGGAGACTTCCTCTGGATGCACTAAAACTTCAAAGGGGCCAAAGCAGAGCGGAGACCCGTTCCAAGAAAGTGGCTGAGCCACTTTCCATGGGTGTGTGTGGCCTAGCCATCTGAAGTAAGTCCTGAATAGCCTCAGGCATTTTGAGAGTAACCCATTCAGCAGCATCTACTTTACAGTTAGCAGATATGTAATTTGGT